AGCTCACTTTCATGGCCTTGTCCTTTCCTTTGGAATATTTTTTTTGATTGTTTGCACAGTCGGCAGCATAGTGTCCAATGCCTCCACATGTGAAGCACTTGACAGATTTTCTAAAATCTTTAGTGAAAGGTTTGACATCCTTATTCCTCTCATTAGATTGATCAGTTGATGGTCTAAACTGTTTCTCACTACCAGAGCTGCCCTCTCTAGCAAACTTTCCCTTATCCTTAAGAATTCTCCTAAATTTTTTGACAAACAAGGCCATCTCATCTTCAAAACCTGAGGATTTTTCACCACATTTCAGAGAGGAAACATGCACTCCTTGAAGTGCAACATTTTGTGATTTTTTAGTGTCATTTTCTTCCATATTCAACTCCATCTCATAGGTTTTCAATTTTCCTACAAGCTTCCCAAGCTTAATTTCATTTAAATTTTGGACCTCCATGATTGCGGTTTTCTTTGCTCTAAACCTAGATGGTAGAACACGAAGAATTTTCTGAACAACAAGAAGCTCTTCAATAGGTTGATCTAGACTCATGGCTTCATTTGTGATCATCTCAACTCTCCCATAGAACTCAGAAATAGACTCAGTTTCAGACATCCTAAGTTCTTCAAATTGTGCAAGCACCATCTGAAGTTTTAGGGTTCTAACTTGGTCATCCCCTTCATGAACCACCCTTAGTTTATCCCAAGCTTGTTTAGCATTAGGGATATGTTGTATAGTGCTAGACAAAGCTGTAACTATGGCATTTCTGGCGTTCTTGTTCGAATATGAAGCAAACACCTCAGCTTCAGTCCATTCTGACCTAGGCTTGGGCACAACCTCACGAACAACAGTCTTGACCGGAGCAACCCACTCTTTTGTGAGATACCCACTTGCGTACTCATCAAGAGCATCAAGGAATATCTCAAATTTTTCTCTCCATGCATCGTAGTTATCGCCGTCAAAATAGGGAGGGGAGTTGCAAGATCCAGCAACTCGATCCCTTTCCATAGTGAGCACACCTAAACACCAAAACAAATCCTAGGATCTCTCTATTTGTGTTAAGAGCTGACGTTCTGATATCAATTGAAATTGGTACTTAGGTGACGAGGAGTAAATTTAATCACACAAACAAGACACAACAACACAGCAATCTTCACACACTTTAAACCTTGACCAAATACACATATGACTAGTCAACTGCTAGTCATGAACAACCACAATCAAGAGAACACACAAAGCATGCCACAAAGTTCTTGCAACCCTATAAGATTACTAGTGACAACCTAGGCACTCAGAAGGACCCGTCAATCTAGGCATCCCCTGTGCTAGCAACAACTATGGTGAAAGTGTGTGAAATCATCATTATCATGTAAACATCAAACAACAAATAAATATGACTAGTCAACCACCAAGAACACAAACCCAGAAAAATCACAGATATGCAAAACAGATTTTGTTTACCCAGAAACCCACCATCGGGAAAAACTGGGAGTCATCAACCGACCAGGCACTAAGTAGAAAAAGATTCTTACAAAGGAAACACAACCAAGCTCAAGAAGCACCTAGGTCTATTTAGGAATATGAGCAAGACCTCCTTTGTGCAATCTTCTTCTCCAACTTAGCAAAACTTGAAGCTCAGTTCTTCGTGGCAATGGCAGCTCCTTCTCCAGCTCGTTCATCCCATGGCACTAGCTTGCAAGCTCCAACATAGATCGAAACCAATATTTGGATTCAAAGGAGAATGACCAATTTCTTCAAGGAACCATACTCTTGAAGAAATCAGTCTTGAATCTGACCTAGATATAAATGAGAGATGATTTAAATAGCTAGATGCAGATTCGGGTTTCAAAAGTAGTTTTTCAAAAAGAAATCAATTGGAAAAACTCATAGATGAAATAAGATGGTTCTCTCGAGGAAGAAGAAGCGAAAGATGGCAAGCCAAACTTTCCAAAACTTCCACCCAAAAGAGACGACTGCCAAATGACCAAAATCGTAGACTTTACAGACCAAAAAATTCCTTAGGTCAGAAACCCACATGGCAGCAGAGAGAGAGAAAGAAGAATAGGACAAAACAGTTTGTTATCCAGCTGGAAATCCTACAGAGCAAGGATGACTAGTCATCTGAGAAACGGATGACTAGTCATCATTTTTATGAAGACTGTTTTATGAAATGATATGCAATGCACAATACCTTTGTCAACTTGCTTGAACCTCCATAGAGCAGAAGTTAGAGAAGAGCACCAAGAAAGGTTTTCCTTAATCTAAACTTGAGCATGATAAATAACAAAACACATCCTATTACAAAGTTGTCAAGGGAAGCCAAAAGAAAATAGTAAAAACCATACATTAACAATTATTATATTGTAATGTGTATCTAAGTGATGACGGTAGCGAATTCAGGACCCTAGGTGATGAAAACTCAACTTGTTAGTGTCATTTGCAAAAAAATTACAAACGGAAAACAAAAAGGATCTAAACCACATAGTACTCTCAAGGCAAAGACTAGAATATCCCAACTAGTTGAGCACTGAGCAAAATCATTAAATTCATATAAACCATATTGCTATCATGTATTATATATAACAAATGGAAGAATCAAACAATTGATATTTATGGTCTTCGTCTTATATAAATAAATAAATATATATATATATATATATATGGTCTGCGTTTATTGTCTGTTTATGGCTATCATTCGACACATATGGTCTTATATATATGTGTATATATATATATATATTTCATTAGTGTTTGAATCAGTCATATATGTACTCATCTATTACAGAGTTTTATGCATGACCCAAGTTGTTTTCAAAGAAACCAAAAAAAAGAAAACAGAAAGACAGCTTTTAATTGTTATTATAACTTTTAGCAAAAAAACCAAAAGGAAAAAAAAACAAAGAACGATGGACAACTTCTGGTTTTTTCACATACATATTAGTTTTTTAGGCAGTAAGAGAAAGTGCAGAGACAAGCTCTTTTAACCACTAGCTGACTTTTTTATGTCATATTTCATTCAAAGCATTGCCATTTATTTATTTTCAAAGCATTGCCATTTATTCATTCAAAGCATAGCCATTTTGTGAGTACTGTTCCTTATCAGATGATTGAAAAGTACATGCTTTAAGGTGCTAGTTTACATTACTAGGGTGACAGTGTGTTCTCGTATACCCTGGCTATGTGTTCTAAGTATTATCATAGAAGGTATTATAATGTTTTGTAGCCTCATAAATTGGTACTATTTTCTTCTTTTTATTGTTTTGCAGTCTCGTATAATGTCACAACTAGGCATGTATGAAGGTAATGACATAAAGGAAGAAGAAATTGATGACGAAGAAATAGGTGAAGACGAAATGGATGAAGATATGGATGATGAAGAAATAGATGAAGAATTTTATGAAGCCATGTACATATCTGTGATGGCAATTCATGCATTAATGCATGTGCTGAATCAGTTTCTTATTATGATGCGTGGTGAACAAGTTGAACGTCCATTAACCCGATGGCGAATTACTAGCATTGGATATGACTATATACATCAAGCATTTAACGATGATCCTACAATCTTTCGACAAGTATATAGAATGTATCCAGATGTATTCAGGAAGTTATGCACAATTCTTAGAGAAAAAACACTCTTGGAGGATACAAGATTTATTTGTGTTGAAGAAATGTTTGCATCATTCCTACAAATTGTCAGCCAAAATACTCGATATTGTGTCATTCGTAATACATTTGGTCAATCACAAGTCACTACAAGTGAAAATTTTCACAAGATTTTGAAGGCCTTGAATTCAATAGCATCTGCCAGTACTGACTGTGCCAGCTAAAATAAGGGAAAGCACAAGATTTTACCCTTATATCAAGGTATGTGATAATTATCTAATTATAATAATATTGTTATTATAATATGTATTTTTCATAATATGGTTATTGTGGTATATGAGTAATTTTAGGATTGCATTGGAGCTATTGATGGTACACATATTCCGGCAATGGTGAGGGGACGAGATTTAAGCAATTATCGTAATCGTCATGGCAAGATATCACAAAATGTATTAGCTGTTTGTAACTTTGATTTGGAATTCATGTACGTTCTTAGTGGGTGGGAGGGTTCAGCTCATGATTCAAAGATACTAAATGATGCTTTATCAAGGAGGAATGGACTCAAAGTGCCCCAAGGTAAGTATTTATTTTAAATGATAAATATATATATTTTAACTTTTCACACTAATTTTGTATATATAATTAGGTAAATATTTCCTAGTGGATTGTGGATTTCCTAATTGGCGTCAATTTTTAGCTCCATTTCGAGGTGTGCGATATCATTTCCAAGATTTTGCAGGTCATGGCAATGACCCTCAAAATGAAAATGAATTGTTCAATAGTTGCCATGCGTCATTGAGGAATGTGATCGAGAGGATATTTGGCATTTTTAAATCACGGTTCACAATTTTTAAGTCAGCGCCTCCATTTCCATTTAAGACACAAGTAGAGCTTGTGTTAGCATGTGTAGCACTACATAACTTTCTTCGCAAAGAGTGTCGTTCTGATGAATTTCCAATTGAACCAGTAGACGAATCTTCATCTTCAGTATTGCCAGTTAATGAAGAAGATAATTTGGGACCTATTGTTTAAACCCAAGAGCAGCAACGAGAAAATGCTAATGCATGGAGAGATACCATAGCTTTAGATATGTGGAGAAATGCTACTTATGAGGACATGAAGCTACATCAAATTGGCTATTAAAAGATTGAGAAAACTTTATTGAATTTTACTTTTCTTTGTTAAAATTGTGTTTCTTTGTTATCTTTTTCATTGACTCTTGTAACTTTGAATGTTTGCTTTTATTTATTGTTCCATTCCATTTGATCCCGTTATTGCTAATGCAAGTGCCCACAACTTTAAGCAATTGACTTTCATTGGCTTTTTATTTATGGCTCCATTCCATTGTTTGAACCAAGTGTCCGCAGCCTACTAACCTTATACCTATCATAAAACCTTTGGGAAGGATAAATTCCACCATCATTTGGAAAGCTTTGGTTGTAAAGGTTGTTCCTGAAGAATTCGTGCATCATTGAATTAGACATTGCTCATCATCCAACTAAGTTGGTTCGTTAGCATCTTACAAATAAAAAATCCATGTGGTCCTTTCGAATCTTATAAATTCTTATGATATAAATCTTTAAAATCCAAACATAAAAAATCCTGAGTATAAAAAATCTTTTTAAAAAATCTTATAAGTCATTACATTCTTAAATAGTCTTTTAAAATCCACTGGACTTATTTATCCATAAATAGTCTTTTAAAATCTCAATTGAATACACCGCCCTCAGTATATTTTGATAGATATTTAAGTTGAGTGATAGATTTGGACAAACCTTCTTATCATAAATTATATTGTATTTTATTGAAAACTCAGGAGTTAAGGCTTAAAAGATATATTTGGTATTAGCATGAGGTGTTGGATCAAGAGTATTGTAGCTAGAGATGGTGCCACCATTCTTCCTAGGTGGTGGGACATGCAAAAATTGAAGATAACCTCAAGTTGTTGTTATCCTATATTGTTGCCGCCAAGAGTATTAACCAATGAGGAATTTCTTGTTGCCTACTTTTACTACTATAAATAGGAGTCTACGTTTACAAATGGTTTACTACATCTAGAGAAAGGCATGCATAGTTTGCATGAGAAATGAGAGAGAGTAAGAGAGAAAGAAGGAGAGAGAGTGGTGATGAAACTCTTGGAGCTTGGTTTGGGTGATAGTACATGAAGATAGATAGATGGGCTATCTTGCCAATTTATTTTAAAGGCTCTCATTATCAAAGTGAGTGGTTTATGTAATGTGTTCTAAAAGTTCTTATTTTGTGATAAAATATGAAAATCATGAATTATCATGAATTTGTTCTATTTACAAATATCTCTCTATTTCAAGTCAAGCATGTCTAATTTGGAGCAATCTTTCACACTATATATTTATATATATATTGATTGGAATATTTGTGAAATA